CCCCGTTGTCCACTCTGCAAACATGCGTTCCCAAACACCAATTCATATGCTTCCTTAATATACCTTATGGATTGATATAAACTCTGTCTGTCACAGTGTGTGTATAGCTGAATTCTAAGACTAGGGAAGAAGCAGCATGTTTTTAGGTGCATGTTGTATATTGACTTGATACCTTTCATTCCCAACAGTCAACCTGGGATGAAAACTACCAGTAACGTTGTTACAGGGAAAACAGTTCTTTCCTGTGCTTCAGGAAAATCTTTGAAATCCTACTATCAAGTTTTAAAAAAATATGGAAACACTTTTAAAATATTTTCTTGTGATTAAATGCTCTCCACATCAGGTTTTGTACCTCAGTTACTCTTGCACTTCCTAAACTTAAGTCTACACAAGCATTCGAATCATGCCATAATGTTTGTAAAGGTTTCCATGAGTTTCTGCTTACCAAGCTCTCCTTTTATCTTTTTCCTTTCTTTTTTCAAGTGAAAGTGGTTTCAAAATTCAGTGGGTTGATGATACGCACGCTCTGGGTATCTTCTCCAGTCTGGCAGCAGGTATGGTGACTTCTTTATGCCAGTAAAAACAGTCTTGTTTGGATTTAGTCAGTAAAGCACAGTAAGAGGTTCTGGAGCCTTAGACGTTTACTTACCCTAGAACATGAAATCCACTTAGTATCGCTGGATTCCCATTAGAAAAAAAACTATGACGTCCTATTCCTGCCAAAAAGTAGACAATTTAAGATGCAGGTCCATGGAGTCCTATTTAGATTTAAAACCAATCACACATCCCTTATTCCTACTGGCAGTTGTAAAGAAGCCTATTTCCCAAGGGGGTACAGAGCTCTTTGTAGTTTACCACCAGCCAGATAAACCCTTTGGAGGTGGAAGGCTTTTTTCTCCCAGCCCTGTTAGGTCCTGCTCCCTTCATGAAGGAGCCTGCTGTAATGCACATTAATGCAACCTCTGGTGCATGCTGGTTCATTCCTGCAGAGAGTCCAAGCAGTTGCAGACTTTACTTTCAATTCTTCCCTTTCTCCCCAATCTTAGACTTGAAACATTTAAAAAATACAGCTCAACTTCCCACTCACGACTCTAGAATGACTTATTATTCATGTCCTTCAGTTGTTGTTGTATAGAAACTCTGGCTTGGGTAATAATCAGGACATGGGAGTGCTGGTATAAGGAGCAAGTGTTTTAAATCATCATTCTTTTCTAGGAATGAATTTGTACTGCCAGCTTAGGTTATCCTTGCAACTAACAAAATTCCAACAAATCCACAACACTTGTGAATCTCAATGGCCATCATTAATACTGCAGTATCTAGGTCAAATGCAAAATACTTTGGCCAAGTGATTCTTGCACTGAAACACTACCCTATGCTACAGATCAGGACCTAGCTTAGAGGAGTTTGTTTTCTGATCCTGTGTGGATTCAAAAAGTCTGCAGCCAATGTCTTGGGACACAACTGTATACTCTTAAACCCTCCCCAAAACTTCTGTTGAGTTCAGTGGGAGTCTTGCAGGCACAAGGAATGCAAGCTTCAACACTTGGGTGAAAAGACTAAATTGTGCTGCTCCACTAAAAAATCTTGACTCAGATCATCAGATGGCATGAAATGGTGCAACTCCATTGATTTCAGTGGTATTATACCCAGGGGGGGAACCTGGTCTGTGTCTGAACTTTATGATGAGGGTTTCCAAAATGCAGCCTGCTAACACTGTTGATCTGTTCTCTTTGAAGCATCTCAGGCCCTGGGACAGAGTTATGCCACTTTAAAGATCCGACCGTTGATCCACGGGACAAGACAGTCTAAAATCAAGGCACTTCAGCGACCAAGTATGCAATCCCTTATTTATTCCTTGTTTGGCATGTTACTGATCCCGAAGGGAGGGTAGGGGGACTAATTTTATTGGAATTAAAACTTGTACTGCTTTAAGAACAACACTTTGATCCTTTCAGTCTTATCAATGCACTGCTGCAGGAGACTTAGCTTAGCTATTGTGCCAATGCACTGCTGCAGTAGATTTCGCTTAGCCTCATGCATCAGTAGGAAAATAGTTACCATAATTCTGCACTTGGAACATTTCTGGGCGTGAAGATCCTGAAGCCAGAGAATCTTGATAAGGGCCTAATTTTTCTGTGCTACTTGGTTGTCTTGTGCTTAACACAAATGAAACTAGCATACAGGAACAAGGTCTGCTTTCACCATTACCGAGCTTGCATACATAATTTCCTTGAATTGTGCTAAACAATTAAATTTTATAGATAAAATGAAACCAATGGCAGTTGTACTTTGGTTGGCATAATTTTATTTTTCAGTATCAGATGAAGATAAAACTGTTACTTAAGCTTAGCCATTCATATTTAGTAACATTTAGTTCATTTTATTACCTTATTTTAAAATCATACTGCAATCACTTGTCTCCCACAATAAAGTTTAAAGGTCATGAATCTTGTAGCAAGAGAGAATACTGAACATACAAGCATACTCTTACTCATAGGGTACATTGCAGTCAAACAAAAAGTGTCAATATTAACCATTTAAAGGGACTCTCTCACTTTTAGTATTTCCTGAGTTACTAACATTGCTAGAATATTTAAGAGAATGGGATTTGCTTTCCAACCTTGTTCAGCTAGCTTGATGAAAGGACTAGTCCAGTCTCACTTCCTCAATCTCCTGCACTAGGCTAATGCTGCAATATTTGGGTTGCAAACACTGCAGAGGAGTCCTGAAATTAGAACAAAGATGTATTTAATTAAAATCACATGCTTTCCCCCCAAAACTTCCACTTGAATTAGCTCACCCTGTCCCCCTGAAGACTGGTTGAGAGTGATAGGCAATTTATTTTCCAAACTTTGAATCCTCTGAGCCTTTTTTTTTTTTTTTTTAATATTTTATTTTTTTAAGCTGTCAGGCTGCCCTTGGTTGTTGGGGGGAAAAAATGTCTTCTCAAAATCTAAGCAAAGCTCCATAAAAAACTGGATAAATTAAATTTGTAGATAGTTACTTTTAAAAGATCACATTTTTCCAGCTCCTTTGCATGTGAAACCAAGACTTCTTCGGTTGGCAGTTTTGAATAGGTCAGATTTTGGCACTTGTTTCTTAAATAAATAATTTGATCTTTCAAAAGCTTTTAATAAGTGAGGTGATGACTAGTAACTGTTGGCACATGACCTCTTAAAACCGTCCATATACCTCTCCATTAAAAATGTGCAGTAAAAGCTGAAGTATTCTACTTTTCCACTCTGCCACTTGCTGGGGGTTTATAGTGATACTTTTAGTGCATTTCAAATAAGATCTGTTTCTACATGGGTAGAAAACTGGATGACACCATAGCTTTTTGTTGATAGTATTGGTAAAATTTAGCAATTCAGATGCTGAGTGATTATTAAGCTACTTTCAAAAGAGAACCTTTAAGATTAGCAATCACTGCAGCAGAGAGCTGGAGTTTTCCCTGTTTGAATGTAGTCTTTTGTACTACCATGGTGCCTTCCATCTGTCAACCGACAGCATTCTACAGACACTAATGAAGTTAGCCTCCCAACAGCCCAAGGAGGCAAGTCTTTGTTACAGGAGGTATTTGAGGCACAGAGGTAAAGTGACTGGCTTATAAATCACACAGCAAGTCAGTGGAAGAGCTGGGAGTAGAATTAAGCCTTCCTGGCTCCCAGCTCTGTAATTTATCTATGAAAATATTCCTGAAATAGCAGGATTTAATTCTCCTTCCTTGCTAACCATTTCATTTCTGAACCATTTTATTTAGAGCTTCTTCAGCTTGCTAAAGAGAGACCCCAGACAGACACAGCAGTGGCTAGAAGGCTGGTGACAAGGGCATTGGGACTACAGCACAAGAAGCAGCGGGTCCCTGGCAGTGCAGTGTTACAGCCAGAGAACGTGGACCAGGAAGAGTGAGCCAGATGAGCGCGTCTCTGCTATTAAACTGCATGCAGAACAGTGGGTTGTCATTAGGACATTCTTCTGTGGGTTAGTGTGGGGTTTTCTTTCTAAGTTGGCAAGGGAAAAGTTTACTATTGTTGAGATATCCAACTCCCTCGTTGCACGCTGGGAACAAGGCCTTTTAGCATTTTCAACATGCTACAGCAATATGGGCACAAGGGCCACCACAGCTCTTCATCATGAAGAGCATCTTATCCTGTCCCACAGCAGCCTCCCAAAACAGCTCTTACCCATTTGGCCTTGATTGTCAACACACTTATCATGCGGCTGGGCCCCTTGCGTGAGCAGAGCAGAGATTGCCCAAGCCTCCCAGAGGTGGTCTGCACTGAATCCATCCTTAACTCAGGCCAGGGGATCTCTGGCCACTAAGTTAGTTCTACACATGTAAAACAACAGTAAGAGCTGCTCTGGAAAGAAGATGAAGTGGGAAAGGTGGAATGTCTTTGGCCAAAACTTGACCTTAAGCAAAAGACAGAGCAACACATTTGCAGGAGTTGGTATCTATTTAATGTTTACTTCATTTGTAAAGCTGTTTTTTCCCTTTGTTTAAAATAAAGTTATACCACAAAACTGATGAGCAGCAAATGCATGGCGAACCTTTGGTTTTTATATAAATACAGTGTATTTAACCAGCACGATCAGGTTTGTGGTGTCGCAGTATTTCAAGGAGAGTTCTTTTCTACCGATTAAGGAAAAAGTCAGAACTTGACATTGTGCTTTTATTGTTGTAGAGCCTGATCCTGAGACTCTCCCCCCACCCCTCGTTGCATTCAGAATGGAGGGTGCTTGACATCCTCCGGCTTCAGGCCTTCAGTAAACAGTCTCACCCTTCCCCCTGATACGGCTTGGAGTTTTCCAAGTTCCAGTAGGCTAAAACCTTTGTTCAATGCCAGTATACAGGCACTGGATGAGTATTACAAGCACCTCTGACAGGCAATAACCAATGATGGAACTGCCATCCTTTAACCCTCACAACACCCCTGTGAGGTAGGTTACAGAGAGCAAACGTTAGGTTAAAAGGGACACAGCCAACAGCAATCACATAACAGACTGAAACCATTTAATCTGTTGTTACACACTTAAGGCAAGTCTAGCATTCAACAGCCATATTGGTTGAGTCAAATTCACAGTTTCCTGTTCATGTGGGTCCTTTTTTTCCTTTTTTCTTTTTTAAACACACACAAACGGAGGGAGAATTAAGGCCACAATAGTGTCATGGTGCCACAGGACCTGGTGCAATACCTGTATTTAAAGATGAAGGACTTCAAGCCATTGGTGTCTCTACACGATTTCCCTGAAGTCCAAGCCAGTGGGAGTAAAACCCAAAGATCCTGACACACAGTCCTTTGCTCTACCCACACAGTGGAGAGGAGACAGAATTCAGCGAAAATACACATACATTGCATATAAAGCATTCTTCTGCCCAAAACAGATTTTTATTTCAAGTAGGTGTGTGTCTGCAAACACTGTTCTGCCTCAAACAAACAGAGGAGTACAGTTAGCACCAATATGCAGTTATGGAAGTGTAAAAGTTATCAACTTATACAGGTGGTCTGACATAGCATGTGGTCCAGATCTGTGACAAAAAAGGCCAATAAGTTATCATTGCAAAGTATATTGGTGTCGCACTTTAACATCTTTTACAGAAAAGGCACCAATTTAATATCCAGCTTAAAGGTGCTGGAAGGAAATATACAGCTGCACATAGGATTTACTGGGTGAATTAACTTGCTGTGGAAAATAAATATATTCTAGTGGACTCCTGCCACAAGGAGGCATACGAGATTTCATGAATGAGTTGTTGCTTGGTCGAGGTCTGGTAATCTCAGCACTGTGTAAGTACACAGTGCTGAGAGGGCCTGCTTTAGATGTTAAGAAGATTGCGATGCAAGTAGAGTGTTTGGATCTAAAAATTGTGTCACAGTATTACATTACGCTTTCTCCCCTCTTCTCAGAAAGGCTGCTCCAGTTTCTCTCTTAGACATACCAGCCACTTCCTTGCTAAACTGGGTATTTGCATGGCATTATTTCCAAGAAGCTATATCACAAATGTAGGTTTTTGCATTAGGGGCATGCTCAGACTTGACTTAAAGCTAAAACATTGCGAGAAGGGGATAAGGCAGCCAAGGTTGAAGTGCATTTAAAAGCGGAATACAGAAATGCATTCCTATTATCATCACCCAAATGCAACCACCATACCCATACTCTACTAACTGCAGCCTAGAAGGTTTGCAAGAGAGGAAGGGAGCTCTAGTGAAAGGTAAGACTGGACGGATAGATGGATATGCAGCCCAATTTTTAGGGGAGTAGGGCCTAGTAGAATTACAGCCTGGTCCAAAATCAGAACATTAAGGATGAGGACTACAGAGTTAGCTCCTTATTGTGCTGAGCACCTGGAATAAGTATGGAGGGCATCACTGAAAATAACTTACACAGCTAACTTAAGTTCATGATTGCTTGCTTGATTCTTTTTCTGTGCAGTGGTTAGGGAAGTCACTGAGAGGCATCCCTGCTTCCTTAAATAGAGTGGGGGGCGAGGCAAGGCTGTTCTATCGAGTGGACACCCGATTATTTGTCAGTCCGCTGAAATGATCAAACTTCTCTTCTGTTTCTTCGCTGAAGGAGCCACCTGTGGAGGCCAGGGAGACAACACTGCAGTCAGAAAAGACTACCTAAATTATGTGCATTACACATGGATGCTGAATGCATCAGGCCACTGAAATATTAGGGTTATGTAGTGTGCAATTGCTTCTGTAGTGATGCTGTGACAACACAATCTACCTTTCTAGCATCTTTCTTCTGATAATGGAGAGCTTGAAGCATCAGAAATGGTACAGATAGGAAAGCTGAAACATTAGGTAGTAAAGTGATTCTGCCCAGGGCAGTACAGCTCTGCCTGACTGTCACAGCTTGGACCCAGAGAATTCTGTCAGTGAAATTATGGATTTCACTGACAACCCCTTCTTTACCATGTTTTTGTAAACTTTAAAGGCCCCATGTTTTGAATGTTTATGAGGGTGACTAGACCTTGCTTTCTAGCTTATTTTTCATTCAGTTGATCTCTACATCATGGAGGCAGGAACTATATGTATGTGGCATGTTTCATCTGAGAATCATTAACTGCCCTAAGGAGATTTCATCTAACATTTTCCCTTGGATCCATAACTCAGCCCTTGCACGCAGCTGGAAACTGCAACTGCTTCTAAGTAAATGACTTGTCAGTAAGACACGGTGAGCGAGCATTAATGAAGCCCAGGAATCCTGACTGCCAGTACCTGCTCTAACCTGCAGCAAATGCTTCAAGTGATATAGCTGTGCTTCAGAAAGATCAGCTCACACTACAACATCCCCCTGCTCACCTATATGGCAGTTATACATCCAGATGCGCTGACCGTCATATCGGCTCCTGCATTTCATCACATTGTTTGAATAATCAGATTCTGCAACTTCAAAGTTTGGGTTGATGACCACCTGAGAAAAGATTAAAGTTATCATGGTCAATTAATGATGTGCAGTGGCCTGGAAATGACATAAAAGAATTAGCTAAAGCTGGTTAGAAAACAAAAGAATGAAGAATATTTTTTAAAACATGTTCCTTGCTCTGGCTGACACTACAAGAGACTTCCTTAGAGGACACAAAAGAAAGAAGGCAAGGTTCTCTCTTTAAACTGAAGTAAGGTGTACAGTGGAGACTTTCCTTCTATTCAGTTGCAATATATCTCTGTAAGTTAGTAGTGCTGTCTCTACCCCAGTACTTGCCAACACTGGAAAAGAATATTTATGCTTGTGGCATGGTTAGGCATACCAATCTATCTTTAAGGACAGCTGGGAAATGGCAGTGAGGGTGCTGTGGCATGGATTGAATGCAGGCCGGATGCACCTGCTGAGGATATACTTGCTAGGTATATACTGATGTGACCAAAACCTGTATTGCTACATCCTCATTTCTAGCTTTGTTCTTGCTAGTGAGATAACAGTAGCTCAAGTGGATATATCTACCACGGAAGACAATACCTTCCCTTGCAGCACAAACGTACTCTCCAGAAACTTCCCAGCTCAAGAAAGAACTAAATGTATTTAACTGGACAGCAGGGAAGACATTAAAAATCCCCCCCTCTCTCAAAACTGACACAGAATTTAGAATTGAATGGATTCTTCCTGCACCTACCATTTGGAGGGTGACCAGGGTCCTACATTCGATTCTTCGCACTGCATTGTGAGGTGAAAACAAGGCATAAGAAGGATGCAATGCTTTCACTAAATTTAAAGAAGAGATAAGGCATGCTTCTCATCTCATGGGTTCTAAAATACTTTGGTTTCTCAGTTGTGGTCCCAAAACCACTTAAGGACATTCCATACAGATCAGCAATAACTATTTGGTGCAGGATATATATATATAATTTTAAGAAAATTAAATTTACGGTAGAAGCCAGCTGCACGTGGTCTGTAGGTTCCTTAAAGTGGTGCTTTGGAGTTTATTTTGGTGGCCTGTGGGAACTACATCCTCCAATGACAACCTACTGTTCTATTCAGCAGTGTGCATTTATACCAGTTACCTGTGTCCTATGAATACCTTCAACAACCTCAGAAAAATTAGGTAGTTCTCAAAATGCTGCTCAGGCAAATGATTGGGCTGTTTTTCATGATCTGTCTGCAGTTCTGGTCTCACTGTCTTCAATGTATTCTGATATATGCCTATCCATCTATAGAAGAGAACTAGTTTGTTGCCGACTCCCAGTAGATAAGAAACATCAGCAGCTTGCTTCCCAGCTCTCCCTGTACCTGGAAGAGGTAATCTCCTGGTGGAGTATCAGTAATATCAATCCACTGGCAGTCAATATCATGGCGATACACATCCCAACATCCAACTGAGATCCCTTGTTCACCAAAATTGGCACATTCATACTGTTTCTGCACATCTGAAAAAGAAAGAAATATAACTGCTAAGTAACATCAGAAAAAACAGAGTCTGCTCTGGATTTGAGAGGCACTTAAACTTGGCTGAAAGAGGCAATAAAATGCATCCCTTAAGGGCATCAGTAAAGGTATTGCCAGAAGAGAGAGAAAAGTATAAATGATACTGTACAAGGCACTGGGGAGAGCTCATTTGAAACGCTTTGTATTATTCTGGTCACTCATGTTCAAGAAATATGAATTTAAACAAAACAGAGGCAGAGAAGGCCTAATGGGATGTTAAGGGGAACAGAGGGCATCTTTACATGTGCTCCAGGGTCATTCATCAAGATTACTTGAGTTTGCTCTGATGGGTGCTAATTAACACGCATCTGAGCAGGCATCACACGTGTACAGATGCCCAAAGAATCTACCTTACAGCATAGACTAGAAGAGGTTGGCTTGCCTAGCATAGCAAGGCTATAAACACTTCAGGGGGTAAAAAACGAAGGAAGGAGAAGACAGGAAGACGGTAAAGGACAACACTGATACAAGAACAAAGGGGTATAAACCAGCCATGAAAAAAAATTGAGCCAGAAATTAGAAGGAAGCTTCTAACTGGCAGAACAAGGAGGTTCCATATAACCTGCCAATAGGTTACTTTGCCCTCACTAATCCTGGCAAGCAGCAAGATTAAACTCGTGGAGCTCATGAACTTGGGGACTGTGGCGTCGACACCTACACAGTCAAATGGGTCGCTAACTGGCTGGAGGGCCGCACCCAGAGAGTGGTGGTGGATGGGTCATTTTCGACCTGGAGGGATGTGAGCAGTGGGGTCCCCCAGGGCTCGGTCCTCAGACCCGCGCTGTTCAACATCTTCATCAGTGATTTGGACGAGGAGGTAAAAAGCACCCTGTTCAAATTTGCTGACGACACTAAGATGTGGGAGGATGTGGGCACGCTATAAGGGAGGAATAGGTTGCAATCAGACCTAGACAGGTTACAGGGGTGGGCAGATGAGAACAGGATGGGTTTCAACACTGAAAAGTGAAAGGTGCTGCACCTGGGGAGGAAGAACCAGCAGCACACCTACAGGCTGGGGAACTCCCTTCCCATCAGCACAGAGGCAGAAAAGGATCTTGGAGTCATTATTGACGCCAAAATGAACATGGGCCGACAGTGTGGGGACGCGGTCAGGAAGGCCAACCGTACCTTGTCATGCATCCACAGATGCATCACGAGCAGGTCCAAAGAAGTGATCCTCCTGCTCTATGCGACACTGGTCAGGCCGCAGTCAGAGTACTGCGTCCAGTTCTAGGCACCGCACTTCAGGAGGGATGTGGACAACTTGGAGCGGGTCCAGAGGAGGGCCACCCGCATGATCAGGGGGCAGCAGGGCAGGCCCTTTGAGGAGAGGCTGAGGGACCTGAACCTGTTCAGCCTCCACAAGAGAAGGCTGAGGGGGGATCTAGTGGCCTGTTACAAACTAGTCAGGGGGGACCAGCAGGCACTGGGGGAGTCCCTGTTCCCCTGAGCACTACCAGGAGTGACTAGAAATAACGGTCACAAGCTGGCAGAGGGTAGATTCAGACTGGACATCAGGAGGCGCTACTTCACAGTCAGGGCGGCTAGGACCTGGAACTAACTTCCAAGAGAAGTGGTGCTTGCTCCTACCAGGGGTCTTTAAGAGGAGGTTAGACAAACACCTTGCTGGGGTCGTTTGACTCCAGTACTTTTTCCTGCCATGGCAGAGGGTTGGACTTGATGATCTGCTCAGGTCCCTTCCGACCCTACCAACTATGAAACTATGAAGGGAACTGTACAATGTGGGCTCTATGTTTTCTCCCTGTAGAGATTATGGACTCAGCACACTTAACTTAAGATAGCACCTTTTGTTCTGAAGCTATGCAGCCATTTTGGGGTTGGAACTCAACCACTTCCAGTTGTCATGAGGAGGCAAGACTCTATCTTTGAAACTAGAGACTATTGGAAGGCAGACAGAGAGAACCTCCTCTCCTGGATCAAGGCTAACTTTGCAAAGATTGTCATTGGGGAGACTTGGGTCTCCTCCACTGAGCTGAAGTCAGCACAGGCCTTTTCTGGGCCATGAAGTCTGTGTGTATATGTTTTGGTGGTTGGGAACAAATGCACATAATGCACATAACCTTGTCTCCTGCCAAACATCTAAAGCTGTGTTTTGGAAACACTGCATTCACAGGAGTCAGAAATATAAGGCCAGGTAATTCAGAAGTGCTCAGCTCCAAATGCAACAATGGCCAGATTTTCAAAACCATTAATCAGCCAATAAAATGAGCTCTTGTGGGACTCCTGTCCCTGTGCCACATCACTAAGGACCTTTTGTAAGAACAGGGATACTGTTAATGTTATGCTGCTGAGACCAAGCATCCTTGGATCCCAACCACTCTGCTCTACTTAGCTTCAAGTGCAACTGCAGTTCTTGGGGGATCACTTTGCAGACTGTGGAGAGCCCCTAGAGCAGTGATTCTCAGTTCAGGTGCCAGGGCACCCTGGGGTGCCTTGAAATCCTTTCAATGGTACTACAGGGTGCCATGCAATGTTTGCACTGTTAGGTGTGCAAACATGATTCCCATGATAAACCTAAAGATTTCAACGAAGAATCCAGAGTGTTAAAAACATTCTTCCCTTTTGTGATCTTTCCGAGTTCTTTGCAACAGAAGAAGTGCTCTTTTATTTTCCTATAGTCCAAAAACAAGTGAAAACTAACAGCTGGAATTTTCCTAGGGGTGCCTCAAATCTAAGAAGTTTGAGAACCACTGCCATATACTAGCAATAATACTAGCAATGAACTCAGCACAAGGTGTCTATACTGACAATACCTGCTTCGCATTCACTGTCTTCCAAACAGAAACTGGCTTTGTGTCCTTCAGCTATCTTGGTCCCATTGAGGTTCAGCAGATCATAGTGTGTGAAGACTTCCATACTGTGATAATGCCTGTAAGAGAGAAGGAAACAACAGTCTTGAAATAAGGCTCAGTTATCCTGCAAGAGCAGGACAAGAACACCTTCTACCCCAATGACGCTGGGACCTTGGCACCTGGGGTTCTGGGCATTCCTCCTGTCCCCAGCAGAGTTGTTGCATTTTGCATGAAGTAGTCATTGGGTAAAATACATAGAGTAAAATGCGCAGTCACTCTGGTCCTTAGAAAATGGATTTGAAAGAGAGAGATGCATAGAAGTGTCAAAGGGACTGGTTGTGCCATGGCTACTGCAGAAATCCTGTGCAGCCTAGTGCTCTTGACCAGAAAAACCGGTGCACCAGAGCCCATTTCCTAACCAGCACCGAGGGGAGCAGAGACCTCCCCATGCAGCACTGCCAGTTGTCCAAGAGTGGTGTAAGTAGAACCCAGTGGCCCATACCCTCCAGCCAGATGAATCCCTCAGCAATAGAAGGGACAAGTACACGCTTCTAATTCAAGCTTCAAACCCAGCCAGCTGGAGCCAGGAGCCCATCCTGTTAGCTGGAGCTTGCAAGAACCCAGTGTGCAGAGCTCTTAGCTCTCCGCCGAGAGGAAGTTTTACCAGCACTTACAAGCACTTTACCATGTATAGTTTAAGCTGCTGCAGCAAGACTTTAGCTCTTTGGAGACCAGGTCACCTGTTTTGGCTTAAAGCTAGATCCAGAGGCTGAAAGTTAGTTATCTTTCAATGCCCGATTTGGGCACAGGCTAGTTCCCTGCCCCAAGTAACTCTGAATCAGAACCACATTTCCTAACAGCAAGGGGAAAAGAGAAATCCATAGCCATTGGCAGACAAATCATAATTTCTGGTGACCGTGCCATTGCTCCCTAGGCCAAGAAACATCAATTATCTCCTGCTTCCACTGGCTCTCTAGCAACAATCTCTGAATAGAGCAGAATGTACCCAGCTACCAATCCAGCTTGTGGGATTTTTCTGTATAAAGAAAAAATAATGTATTATGAACCCACTGAAAGGAAATTAACAACAGATGAGGTAAATTTATCTCTCAGCATGTTTTCCCCTGCCCTAAACAACCCAACAGCTGGGTTCACATACACAACAGTTTCATAATGTTAACAGGGTACTGATAGAGTCAGCCTGACTCTATCTGCCCTTCTAGCAAAAGCGCTCCAGCTCTGTGCAACACAGCTGAGTTGGGATCATTCCCCTTTGCAATGTGGGCTGTGCATGTGCACGTCTGATACCAGGGTTGCACAACTGATGCCAAGCAAAGACCATGGCACAAGTTGGGGAACGTTGCTCCCAGGAAGAACTCTCTGCATCCAGTCAGTGATTCAACAAAAGTGCCTTGGTAAAGTTAAGCCCAGGCTGACATCCAGCTAAAGTCAGTGGGGTAGATTCAAGTGGTTTGCTGAATAAAGATGGACTTAAGCACATGCCTGAAAGTTAAACAAGTGCTTTACTCAGTCAGGGTCCAGATTCTGACTCATGTTATCCTGATGTAACAGAGACCAGAATATGTCCTTTTGCCCACCAAACTAGTGATAAAGCCAATTTCTGCAATATTGTTCTTGGGAGCCAGGACAGCCACAGCCTCAGATACCGTGGTTATGGACATTCAGACAGAACAAACCCTGCATCTTCCAATCAGATCCCCGCAAGTGGATCCATACAAACCTCGTCTTTTCCTGCCCAAGTGCAGGGGGGCTGGATCTGTTGATCTGTAAGGTCTCTCCCAGCCCCTAACAGCTATGAAATTATAAAACTATGATTTCTGCAACCCTGTACCTGGGTATACATGTCAGCCACTACAGGCTGGATTGCAAGACTGGGGAAACTGAGCAGACAGAGGTAATTCAAGAAGTACACTGCTGATGAGTTCTAAGAGTAGAATTCCCTTTCTCTTCCAGCTGCAAAAATCATCACAGCTTAACAATGAATGGCACAATTTTCCTACAGACAGTGTAGGTTGAAGCACCCATCCATGCATGTTTTATTTAACCACAATTTGCTCACAGAAGTAACAAAACACCTTTTTTTTTTTTTTTTTTTTTTTTACTATGGGGAAACAACATTTTTCTTTACTCTTGGTTCCCTCCCTTCTTTCCCCTTCCACTACCCCCAGAAAGTCACCATAGCTAAACTGCTGGCAGAAGTTCTCAAGTTCCCCTTCACTTTGCCATTAAGTGCCTTTTTCCCATTTTTGTCCTGCTTCTGTGTCATAAACCTGTTGGACAGAAGCTCACAGAGACAGTAAAAAAAGGAGTCATTCTCTGGTGGCTGAGCTATTGACTTTGAAGTAGTCTACTTTGGCTGCCTCTGATTTAAAAAAAAAATTAAACCTTAAGTCTGACTCAGTTCCTAAAATATGTCTGCATCATTCAACTAGGCGTTTATATTATAGTGTTTACAGACTGGAAAAACTGAACAGGAATTGAGTTCATAATCCTCTATATAAACAGAATCTGGTTTAAAACACGCAGACTGCCAGTAGCCTCTTCCTGATCTTCTCCTTGCCTCACCTTGCTTCACTTAACACGTCTCCCCAATGTTGCAGAGCCTTGCTCCTTTCAAGCAGGCTAAGACATGACTTGCATTCCATTGTGCTGTGATATTATGCTGCTTCTGTGAATAACTCTGATCCCTCTACAGCAGAAGTGGGCAAAATCTGGCCCGTGGGCCAAATCCAGCCCTCAGAGGGATTTTGTCTGGCCTGCAGTGAGCCCTTCAGTCCTGCTTGGCCCAGCTGCTGACTTTTTTCTGGCTGCCTCCGCCACCGGGCCCAGCCCCATGGAGAGGGGCTGGGACCCTTGCACGAGCACCTGCATGAGCAGAGCCCAAGCCCCAGGATGAGAGCGCAGGCCCAGCCCTGATCCGCCCCACTTCGGGGGATTGGGGTCCCTGAAGTGCCCGCTTTGGACCCGCCTGCCCTGGCCATGATGAGCAGCGGTGGCAGCCAGGCAGGAGCAGCTGGGTGCTGGGAAAAAGTGGGACCTGGTGGCAGGCATGGCTCTGTCCCTCTCACTGCTGCCAGGCCCTTCTTGCTGTGGCCACCCAGAGCTCTCCTCCCTGCCACCACTGGCACCAACACTGGCTCCAGGCTGAGCTGGGCCCCTGCGCCCAGAAAGGCAGGAGTGGGGAGGAGAACCGCAGTGCAGGCTCTGGGTGGCAAGAAAGGCCCAGCAGTAGCAAGGGGGTGGGAACTGCACCTGCCACCAGGTCCTGATTATTCCCAGTGCCCAGTAGCAGCTTCTGCCCGGCCACAAATGCTACTCATTGTGGCCAGGGTGGGTGGGTCAGGAGTGGGTACTGTAGGGATTCTGATACACAGGGCTGGAACTATGCACTCAGCCTGGGGCTGGGCAGAAGCTGCTGCTGGACACCGGGGAAAAAGTGGGACCTGGTTGTGGGCACAGCTGCCCCGTTCACCACTGCTAGGGCCTTCTCACTGTGGCCACCCAGAGACTGTGCCATAGCAGTTACCCTGTGGCTCCTCCCCACCACCCTGCTGGGCATGGGGTGGCCTGGAGGCAACGCTGGTGTCGTTGGCCTCAGCTGGACTGCCTCTGCTGAAGCTGCTACCCACCTGCACCCACATCAGTTCCCTGCCCACCCGTGGCCCCATCTCACATAGTGAAGTTTGGTGAGCAGTTGCATGGGGGGGGGGGCCAGAGGTACTGACCTGGCCCACAACAGCTCCCCGAAACGCCCTATGTGGCCCACGGGCCCAAATAATTGCCCACCCTTGCTCTAGTGTAGCCCATTGTTGAAAAACCTGTCTGCTGAAGAGCAAGCAGCCAGAGAACAATCTCATTAGAAGGTGCTGTAGGGTCAAACCCTCCTGCATTGTTCTGCGGATCCTCAATAAATCCCTGCTAATTACAGATGTCTTCTGTCTGCCAAGTTAGGACAAATATGATTTGGGAGTTTTCTTTTCTCAAAAGCAGCCCCTCCAAGCCTTTCCAGTCCTAGCTGGTTTTCCTTTTCCATTTACCATGCATCATCTCCTGTTCATTTTCACCCTGTGGTGTCAGTATTGCCCACTCTGATCCAGTGGCAGGCAATAGTATGTGAAGCTGTTCCTTTGCCAGTCCGCACTGTGCTTATCCTGGACTTTTATGAAACAAACCAGAGCCTGGTGTGGTTGGAGTAATTAAATGGGAGGCACCTTTTGAGTCTCGGAGGAAGGAGATATGGGAAGAATGGGATCTTGCTGGTCAGAGATGGAGGGGATCTATGGAAGCAGAGTTTGACACCTGCCTCCTAACTTCAGATCAGCAGAGGACTCCAGTTTTGAAGGTAATGGTGCCATTAAGGTTTCCAACATGCTTTGGTTGGACCGTCAGCTAATGACAGACTGTGCCAAGTGATCCCATTTTGTGGATTCCTTGTTGCATGCTTAAGACATCTCTTTCTAGCAATGGCCATTTAAGTCACCCTTGATCCTGCCAGAGTGTCTGACAGAGTTGTTTACCTTTATTTTCAACTGAGAAATAACTGCAGAATCTCAGATATCTCTGGGTTATATGTGTGTCCATGCTAATTTGATAACTGGAACCACAGGCACCTCTTGTAACTAATCCTAATCCATACTATGGATGCAACTTTGCGAGTGTTCAGAACCACTGTGTATGAGATCTCTGGCTCCCATTGACATCAGTGGGTTCTGGTAGTACTCAGCATCCTCAAACAGCCAGGCTACAGATGCTTCTTCCTCTCCCCTCCTACTTCCTTTCCACAGAGACATTTAATGGCCAGAACATGCGACAGATCCACTCATTTGTACCAACTGAAGGCTTAGTGCAAATTTTTTTTTTTTAACAGCACGGGTGATGTGTGTCCCTCTTAAAATTTCAACTCAGCTCCTTTCACTATAACTGGCAATGCAATGGAAAAAAACACCTGACCTTACTGTATTTCATTAGGGCTGATTTTGTACTGAGTAGCTTTGTGTGTATAGCTAAATTACAGAAAGTAGTGTAGATATGTATATCTGTATGCTGTGCAAACAGTATCCTAGCTACATACATAATATGTATATGCAGATAATATTTCTCTCAGTATATTCAAGCACGTAAACACCCCTGACTCTTGCTGTGCATCTGGATCTCGGTCATATACAGATTCATTTTGCGCAATATTCATCTCTACAATGTTAGCATTATAGCTGTATAACCACACAGGGACTTTTCACCCAATATTCTTCCCAAAAAGCAGCCTACTATCACCCCCCTGGTTTATGACCAAACTCTGATATTCTGAACACTATATATATATATTTTTTTTTTTAACTGCCTTTGGAAACACGCTTCCTTTTTCTAAACAGAGAAGGGCCAAAATGGCCCACAACCAGCTGAGCCCAGAAAGGCTCTGTGTGCAAAAGCATACTGGAAAGTAGGTTTCCATGGAGGATATTTGCTGACGGGATCGAAAGACAGCTTTCAGACGATTCCAAGTAATGATCCAAGAAGACAGGAGCTTGCAGAGCAAGAGGCTCTTTGTGAAATTATTTTATAAACTGCCTTCTGAGGCAGTTGTCTTTTATAAGGAATGCAGAGGTGCCTTTCCTTACCTGCGTAGGGCTGCTGAATAGCCCACTGAAAAGGGCTGCGAGGATCATAGCATTCAACTGTTGTTAAATATCCTCTTTGCATTATCTACTCACATCTGATCTGCATTTCAAATCAGTCATTTCAACCTACAGCACACTGTTTGTGTTCTGATGCTCTGTGCATGTTGTAGAGGGTGGTATGACAAACCCTTTTGTATTGTCCAGGAGGAATCCAGAGACTTTACCTGGAAGCACCTCTGGGTCTGCAACATCTGGTGTTCTTCAGTTTTGCAATTTCTTGACAAAGTGAATCACAATAGGATTCTAACACTGCCTGGCAACATCAGTGGTTTTCTATTGGAATAAACCTGCTACGTGTGTATGTACACTGCTCCAGGCCTGTATTTTTCAAGTGGGCTGTTCCCAGCTCTGTCCCAGGACATTCTGAGTGGCTGGGGTATGCAACATAAATGACACCCACTCAGAGAGGCTTCTGAGTACCAGTTGTGCCAGATGGCTTTGATATGTGGGTACATGTCCATGCAGAACAGACCCAAAACCCATAGCATTTGCTGCACTGCCAGCAGGGACAGCAGAGCAGGTTATGCTCTTTGTGCCTGCTGCAATACCTTCACAGAACCCAAGGAGCTGAAGAGTGTTAGCACAAGAGGCGAAAAGGGGAGCAACCTGTGTACTCACCTGTGACAGTCATGCCAGATCCAGGCGTGGCGGCCATTCTTTGGGCGGAAGTCAGACTGCCCATTGTTGTGGATCTGGGAAGAGAACCGCAGGAGCCTCCGGTAGCCTGAGGTAATGGATGTGTTGGCAGCAGAAGAAGCCAGGCAGTTCTCCTCCAGCGCACACTGCAGCATGAACATCGGCCGGTCCTCCAGGTAAGAGGTTTGCTCCACCAGCTCGGCGTTGAGCACCAGGTCAGGGGCAGCTGAGGGCAGGGAGAGGAAAACGTGACACCAACTTCTTAAGAGATGTCTACACCAAAGTGATGACCTGCCATGCACTAGTCACATCTCAGCTGCAGACACTGGCTTTGCACCCTAGCCAGAACAGGTATTAGCCACAAGTCAGTGCACCAGCTTAACCCTCTGTAGGAAGTCATGCACAAGCCAGCCAGCTCAGGCAAAGAAAGCTAAGGGAAGTAAACCAGTTTTGAAGAAGAGAAGCAGGGCACACTGAGGGTCATGGGAAAAAGGAGGAGGTGATCAAGGAAAGAGCTGCAGCAGATGGAGAGTTTGAGGAAAGGACAGGGGAGAATTCCAAATATAGAGCCCTCCAAGCAGTTATATACCCTGTTCTCTACCCCCCGCATCATGGACATTTTAGTGCTGCATTTCTCATGCAGTCCCTGCCCCCCACTTCCTCTCCTGCATCCCATAACAGGGATGGCTCCAGTATTGGCCTTGGTTGTCTATGCATCTCGAATAAGAGAAAATAAAAGGAACTCACTTTCTGAGCAGGAAACTCCTGCAGCAAAGCGGCCACCACCCCTGGGACATGAAACTCTGGTGCCATCATGCCGACAGTGACCCAGGGACATCTCCGTGCCTGAACACTTCACGCCACTCATAATGACATCATCAGCACTGATGTCTCCATGCCAGTACCAAGTTTCCTAGGGAAAGGGACAGAAACAGGTTATTGGATACACTTCTCAGCCTTTTGAAGGCTCAGATCAAGTGGCTCAGATCTATCAAGGGGCACATGCCATCAGCAGGACAGATCTGGATGGTGTTAAAGCCTGCATCCTGCATTTCTGAATTCCAGATGCAGAAAGTATATGAGAAAGACAGCAAAAAAGGAGACAGCATCAAGTTTTAGGTTAAAAGGATGTGCATTTGCATTTGGAACAGGCAACAAAGCCCTCTTCCGCTGCAGGGAGAAGTGGTGCTCCCCACACAGAAGCCTATTTAGTGAAGCAGCACAACTCTGAAAGAGCTCTCATAAGTCTCCAGGTCAGTCTCCTCTGTTTTGGAGCATATAGGATCATAGAAAATGAGGGTTGGAAGGGACCTCAGGAGATCATCTAGTCCAACCCCTTGCTCAAAGCAGGACCATACCCACCTATATCATCCCACACAAGGCTTTATCTACTTAAGCCTTAAAAACCTCTAAGGATAGAGATTCCACCACCTCTCTGGGTGACCTGTTCCAGTGTTTTACTGCCCTCCTAGGGAGGATGATTTTCCTAATACCAACTTAAACCTCCCTTGCTGCAACTTGAGACCATTGTTCCTTGTTCTGTCATGTGTCACCACTGAGAACAGTGCAGCTCCATCCTCTTTGGAACCAGCCTTCAGGTAGTTGAAAGCTGCTGTTAAATCCCCTCAATCTTCTCTTCTCCAGCCCAGCTTCCTCAGCCTCTCCTCACAAGTCATGTCCCCTAGCCCCCAAACTATTTTTGCTGCTCTCCGCTGGACTCTCTCCAATTTGTCTGCATTCTTTTTGTAATGGGAGGTCAAAAACTGGACACAGGACTCCAGATATGGCCTCACCAGCGCTGAACAGAGGGGAAATCACTTCCCTCAATCTGCTGGCAATGTTCCTACTAATATCTATTTGCTTATTTCACAAAGCCAAGTTTTCTTTAGAAGGCATCTCTAACATGCTCTGTTCTAGAGAAGACGGAGGGTTTTGATCTTAATTCAACATTTTCAAAAACAGTTGGTGATTTTTGGTGTCCAACTGCAAACCTTTAAAGGGGCCTAATTTTCATATAGTGCTGAGCACCTTCCTGAAAATCAGTCTCTGTTAAGAGATCTCAACATGGGCACCGAAAGCACCAGTCCCTTCAGAAAATCTTTGTCCTACACTTTATGGACACAGCATGTCCTTGGAGCCATGTCTGTAACCCAATGATTCTTGCTCCATGCAAAGATCTGGCTTCTGTGCCAGTCTTGGTCATGAACCACATGTATTTTTAGATTTCCTAGAGCAGGGGTGGGCAATTATTTTGGGCAGAGGGCCACTTACTGAGTTTTGGCAAGCCATCAAGGGTTTTGTAAATTAATTTTCTAAATTTTTTAGGGGCCCCATGGGCCAGATAGAAAGGCCTGGCGAGCCACATCCGGCCCCCGGGCCGAATTTTGCCCACCCCTGTCTAGAGCAAGGCTAAGATTTGCCCGAGGTGATTTAATTAAAGTATGAAAAGTTAACATGCCTTGGTTCTAAATTCACCAGCTCACCAGGCTTTGGCAGCCAGCTTGGAAACACAGGAGCAGCTCAGTAAATGGTGAGCTACGCAGTTCATCAGCTTTTCCATACACAACATTTATCAGGAGCTGCTACTAATGAGCTGATTGTGAATTCCTTAGCCCTTAATGGCACCATGCCCCCCTGAGCATCTGAGCAGCCACTGTTATACTCTACTATGCTATACTGTGTGCTATGCACTGGCAGCAGACAACAAAGACATACAATAGCTACTCTAGGTGGACTGAAAGCAACACTTGTGCCCAGTTACCAGAGGGCAAACTTAAAGAAACACAGTGATTTTCTTTTCCTAAAAAAAATAAGGAACTAGGGGGGAAAAAAGCTAACTTAACAATATCCAAACATCCAGATACCACAGTTTAATCTGTCAGTTTATTAACACAAGAATGCCTGTATCAGGTTTGCTGCAGCTTTGCAGAAATTGAGATCTTCATTAATAAGACATCAGTGAGATGCTTTGACTAGTCTGCAACCCACTGGTTTATGCTGCTGAGATTTTGTACTGTACTAAGTCAAAGGAATGCTACAGCAATCTCTGTGCAGTTTACATAGTTGCCAACATAAAGCATAGTCAGAGGCTTATACCCCCAGGTCCCATCCCACTCCATCACACTTTAATCACTGCACTTCATACTAGGCAAATTGTAGCAATCTGTGTGCATGACCTGAAACTGTTGCCAGAAGGTACTTTATCAGATGGAGCCTCCTGCTTGCAGTGAAAGTACTGAAGCCCCTGAGCTATCTCAGACATCTCGAATAATACTTAGTTAGCACTTCACATCTTCAAGGCACCATACAGACTACTTAACCTATACAACATCCCTGTTGTTTGTGCCATACAGGTAGTGATAGTGAGGAAAAGAATGATAAATAACTTTTCAAGGGCCACACAATAAATCAGTAGCAGAAGAAAGAACATAATTCAGGGGATCTGACTACACACAAGATCACAGTGTCCTCCCCAACCCCGCTACATATGAGAGAAGACCCTTAGGGCTAGGGACAGACATTATACATAAACCAGTTTCAGTGATCAGAAACTGGTTTAAACCTGTAACAGAACAGATGTTCAGTGCACATAAACCAGTTTGAAAATGACTGAAACTGGTTTGAGATAAGTCTGATACTACATTCAACCAGGTTTAACTGATTTGGCTCAAACCGGTTTATGCAATGTCTGTCCCAGACCCCTTGCTGGTTTAAGATAAACCAGACTCCCCCAGCATGCTTTCTGGGCTGGGCGGGGCTCTCTCCTCCACAGCAGGGCTGGCCCCTCCCCCTCTGCTCCCTGGCTGGAGCTTTGGCAGAGACTGCAGGCATTTGCCTGGCTTCTCCCTGCTAAGTAGGGATTATTCCCCCTGCCCGTCTGCTTTACACAGACACCTCTCAGCTTTAGCTAGCAGACCACATGCTGACTACAGTCCTTGCTATGGGAGATGACAGAGGCAGGCAGGCTTTTTGGACCAACCTGCAAAGATTGAATCAATTCAGGCTCAGGCTTTTTGAATGTCTGTCCCTAGCCCAGCAGTCTTGCCTCCCAATCTCTCTTGGTAAACATGAAAGCTGAAGTTCATCTCTGCTCCAATTTGGTTTGCAACTCTGCCTTGCTGTCATCCAACTCAAATTCCCATCTCCACCCAGCTCTCCCTGTCCAGTTTATGAATTCATCCTCAGTCTGTTTCCAGTCAGATAAGCTGCCACAATGGGTTAGATGGCAAGCAACTAATCCCATCTCCTTTGCGACATCTGTGCAGCATGGAGGACAACAGGAAGCTCCAAAGTGAGATCAAAACACTGGTGCATGACTAATGGCCTGCACCAGCCCAGCAAACTACAAAGAGCATTCAGGAGCCAAACCCATCCCCACAGCAACGCCCTCTCCAAATATCATTTGGGGGCCAAATCCTGAAGTCTCCGATGTCTCAGGGGCTTTGCATGGTTCAAAGGCATAGCTTGCAAGATCCTTGTCAGAAAGGTCATGCACTCTCTGGACTTTGTGAAGTGCTGACTGCTGAAACCAAGAAGGGACTTCTCTTACTGCGCGTGAAGCAGAAGCCTGGGATCCAGATTTTTCATCTGAGAGTTTCAAAGCCATGGAAATGCATGAATGATGTGTTAAAATTCCTGTCCTACTCTGAAAGCTCTCAGGATATGCACTTCTGCCACTGCAGAACATAACCTTTCTGTGCTTCAGTTTCCCTCTCTATATAGGGACAGAAATTCTCTCCCTCCCTGACAGGAGTGCCAGGAGGCTCAACTGTTTAAGGGGACAAATGATCTAACAATTAAGGCACTCATCTGGGATTCAAGGGTCAATTCCTAGCTCTGCCACGATCTCACTGCTACACCTGGGGCAAGTCATGTAGCTTCCCTGTGCCATAGCACTTATCTCATTGCTCTTTTCATATTTCAATAGGTCTTTTCTACTTGAATTGCAAGCTATGAAGGGCAGAACTGTCTCTTACTATGTGTTCATACCATGCCTAGCCCTAATCTTGCTACTGTATTTCTATTTGAGAAATTCCTGGAGATGTTTGGATGAAGAGAATTTCATCTCCTTGGTGAGAAATCACCTTATTCTGCTCTCCTCTGAGGAAGCATCAAAGCTGAGAGTTCCTTTCAGAAGAGGAGGACATCCTGTACCAATGCTCCTGTTGCAACACCTTTGTTAGCAATCCCTTTTTTGCACACATATGTGCACAAAGGGCTGTTCCTCTTCCACACGTGTTGCTTTATGTTCTTGTATAAGATATAGCCTGGAACCATATAAGGACTTTTTATGTTCTCAATACCAGCAGCCCGTGCAGAAGGAAAATGCCTTTTTTCAAGCCAGGCTATCAGTGCTCTGTCAACTGGGAAGAATGCCATTAGATGCACACAGCTGCCCTGGGTTTTCACACTCCGACTTGGCAGCCGCACAAGAAAATAAATGGAAAACCAGCGAAGTGGTTAGTGTAAGTAGATTGCTGCACTAGCTGTGAATGCAAAGTCTTGTATGCAGAGACTGCAGCAAAAACTAGAACCTGCACCCTCCCCAACCTGGAGAATTAGGCCCCTCTGAATGGTGCTGGAGACATGAAGGTGGGTGACCACCACTACCATCAGGGCGGGTTTGGTCTCCCACTTAGAGGACAGACATTCAGTCTCTGTAGGTCTTCCAGGGACCCGTACACAACACTACTGCCCCTGCAACTGCTGAACACTTAAGTTGTTTGCAATATGCCCCATCAATATGGCTTAATATTTAAATCTTCTCCCTCAGTATCCCAAACCCAGTAATTTATTACAAAGGAAGCAATAATTTATCTACAAAAAAGAAGCATTCCCTGGACCCAAATGTGGAAGAGGAAACCACCAGCTTTGCTTATAGTCTCTTTTCACTATCTGATGAACTTCCCTAGTTGCCTTCAGGATGCTTGGCTCACCTGATAAACCTTACCCTTTACCTCCCTGATGCCCCCAAATCATTTCAGTTCCATATACTGCTCTTCACACTATGTCCAAAGCTACTCTGCAGTGTTTCAGCATGCTTTTAAAGGGCTAATGCATTCATATGAGGAGGTGCCTATTTTTTTTTAATGGCAATAAAAAATGTTCATCTAGACAGTCTGTGCATTGGTTTAACGGTTGCAAGGGTCCCTTGGGATTAAAGTCACGACAAACATTACATTGGTTTAACGGTTGCGAGGGTCCCTTGGGATTAAAGTCACGACAAACACTGCACCAAAAGTTCAGCAAAAACCAGCAGAAAGGTGTTAGAAATTGGTGCCCTGAAAAGACAAAGGTGTTTCCAGATGTCTTATTTTTCTTGACAGTCCTGCTATTTCTGTCCCTAGCCCAAGGGTCACATCCCTAGCATGTGCCTATCAACCCTGCTATACTTCATACTGCCCTGTGTTAGAGAAAATCTTTCTGAGCTCACCATGAGATAAAGACTCTGAGCCATGCATTTCTACAGAGGAATTCCTGGTGATCTGTGAGTTTGACTTGGAAGATGACAAAAAGTCACGAACCTACTTTGAGCTGATGCTGGTTATGCTCCGTAGGTATAACAGTCATGATGTAGGCCAATGATTTCATGGAGGACTTTAAAAAAAACCCACACTCCTTAGCTTGCTCACTGAATCCTCTGCATTTTGGTAGCACTGCTGCAAAGCTAGTCCTGTCTCCCTGGCTGATGCACGTGGGGAAGATGAATGGGGCCAAGTCCCTGGGTCCTAAGGGACTTGGAAGGTACCGGGGAAGGGGGTGTGGAGCCTCTCTATGCGTGGAAATAAAATGGTTACCATCTGATTACCAGCTAGGGGCTCCTATGAAGAAAAATGTATTTTACAGTGGGGATCTAGGAGATGCCTGTCCATGATATTTACACCACCATCACTGCTGGCTTTCTGAGCAGGAAGGCCAAGCACAGAGCAAGCCACAGTGACTGAATCATCACGTTCCTCAGAGACTGACCCTCTAAGCAAGGGCTGAGGTACACCTGAGAAGCTCACCCAGATCCTGCCCAGGCTATGCAGATAAGCATGGCATAAGGGCAAAGCTACCATCATTTGCCTGAGCTCAGGCCAACCCGCAGGTGCACGAGGAGAGGGTGACATACCTGAAAGGCATGGCTAGCAAAGCCAAGGCCCAACTGGCGACAAACCACCATGGCTTCCACGGTGCTCCATTTCTCACTGCAGACTGTCCCCCACTTCAAGGTCCCATTGCGCTCCATGAGGACTTCTACCCGGCCCTCATATGGGTTGCGGCCACCACTCAGACGCAGCTAGAGGGAAGGAGAAGAAAAAAAAAAAAGATTTCTGTTCAGCTCTCTAAAAGCAATTGCCAGGAATTTCTCTGCTGACCTAGTTCCATGTATGAAGAGATGCCGGGCTTGCAGAAGTGGGCAGCGGATGAATTCTCCACTCACATTTGAATGTGTTATTTATAAAGCCATGTTAGAGCTGGTGGTATACAGAGCTATTTGCAACAGCTGGCATGGGAGAGTTCAAAGTCTTCAAGTTTTATCAAAGCTTGTGGTTAGGGCACCAGACTGAAGCAATCCAAGTTCAATTCTGGCTCTGCCACAGATTGTGTGATCCTGGGCCACTCAGTTAATCTCTCTGGGTTTCTGTCCTCTAACAGACTGATGATCATACTGCCCTTCTCTAATCCTCTGGCTATCTGAGGAACTGACTGGATCATTCCTGTGGTCTAATTATTCTAATGTCCTCTCTCTACTGGGATCCAATACCAGTTGTTTCACAGGCAGCCGAAAGAATCAGTGCTGCTGGCAGTAATCAAATAAAATGCCCCCAAGCAATGTTTTGCCCCAGCTCCCATAGTAAGAAGATTGGGTTATGCCCTAAAAGCAGGAGGTTTACAGGTCTTGCCTATATGTTATTGCCCCATCTAGTTAGACTGCATGGCCCTTAGGGCAGGGAATCTCTCTATGTCCTAGTGTAGCACCCAGCACAATAGGGTCTCATTCTAAGTTGAAGACTCTACACACTAGTGTACTAAGAATAAATAACAGCTCATTTGGATAAGCAGGAGCCTGAACCAACCCCTCAGGGCTGCTGGAATTATTTATCAAGTGCTGAGTGTATGACATGCAAATGGTGCTCTGCATCTTTCTTGCTTAGATCTCAGAGCCCCCTACCAAATAAAAAAATCCAGTGCCATGATCCCTATATTACACATAATAGTGGAAGAGACTGCCCAGGGTCATAACACAGGTCAAAGGCCCAACAGAGAACATAACTCAGACCTGCAAACTCTCAGCCCAGCAAGCCAACTAAATGATCAATATGAGACCTTTAAATTGTTCAATGTTCCTCAAAAGATTTGCAGGTCTTAACTTGTCTTTCAGGGACCTTTTTTCTCTTTTCCCTCCCAACAATTATCCTCTGTATCTATATTACAAGTTTGCCAGAGCATAGGTTTTCTCCCTGTTTACCAAGGCCTACCACAGCAGGGCCCCTATGTGCTACTACAACACAAAAACTGACGGGTTGCAAGCACACAGGGCTCAAATATGGCCTAGGCTATGAGCTGACTCTGAACAGGGAGGAACCGTATGCCTGCAGTGACACGAGGCACTGGACTTAGATAGCATCGAGGAGGGGCCTCACAGAAAAATAAGCAGCTGGGGAAATATTGTTCCACTGCTCAAAATGTATTTTCCTCCTTGGTCTAATACAATACAGATGTTCAAATGAAATGGTACAAGAAGAGCTGAGCCAAAATTATTCCAACATAAATCACAAGTGCCTGCTGCTCTTTCTGCCAAGAGGGTCTGGAGGTGAGTTGAAGTGCTGTGGCAGAGCACCAGCAGCTGCCACAAACTTTTGCAGAAGCCCACAAACTGCCTCCAGACAGGCCCAGCCCCACAGGTTTCTCCGCTACACCACCCTTCTCTTTTTTGTCATATAAAGAAAATAAACTACCACATATCTGATTAGTAAGTTTAACTTAAGCCGTGACCGCATTCCAAGCACAACTGCATTTTATTACTTCTAAAAAGACCTGGGATTCCCAAGATAACCTCACAGGGTAGTGTTGCTCCCCTATAGGCTTCTGCAGGGTGAGGGACTGGGACACCCCCCTTGACACACACAGTACCTTGCTTGCAAATGCAGCTAAGTTTCCCTGTGCCATTCAGCACCTGGGAATGAAAGTCCTTCCCAGATATACCCGAGTACCCTTTAAGGGACAGCTGCATTATAACCTTCATTTTACAGACAGGAAAACTAAGATCCAGAGGAGGAGTTTATGACCATATTTCCAAGTGGCCTCTGTGTTCATCACTCCCTGGGCACCCAGCTTTAAACACTGAAGGACAGATCCACAAAGGTGCCAACTCCTATCTAGGCACAGACTCCCTTTGAAATCAATGGGATCTAGGTGCCTAAATATCTTTGAGAATCATGGCCCTATTCTCTGAGCACTAGCCTTTCTCATTGATGCCAAGTGCAGTCAGGTACCAGGTGTTTAAAGCTGGGCAACCAGAAGACAGATGCACACAAAAATGTTAAGTCTCCTTTAGAGCCTGGCCTTAAATGATCTGCCCAGGTCCACACAGGAAGTCTATGTTTGAACAGAGAGCACAGCCCAAGCCAAGTGGCTAAACCACAACGGCATCTCTGCATAAAACCTCCCAGTATGCTTAAAGGGCTATCGGGTTAATTCATACATGCCACCTCAACTATGAAAGTCTCTCCAGGGAAGATGCATAGCAGTTCAATGATAAGTCTGCCCTTGGGGCATTCTCAAGAAAAGCCTCTGTTGTTCTCAAGGGGGAAAACTCCCCATAGTGCAGAGCCAATGCAAAGTCACCATACTAAACCCTACCTGAATGTCAGGGTGCGATGTAAATGGCACAAAGACCACTACAGAGCCACTGCAGAGAAGGGAATTTTACCCTTGGCCCTTTGGCACCGACATAAAAAGGCAGAACGTACATGATCAGGATCAGTCAGTCCATCAGGAGCCGCAAGCCTTGGGATTGCCTTTAGAAGGCACAGCTGTTGAATCCTGGTATTTCCTCAGAGTATTATTTTTCACTGAAAAAACATAGCCACAAGACAACTACTCTCTAGCTCCTCTGAAAGGTGTTTGATTGCAGCTACAAAACATCAGGTAGTTGTTGCACTGTTTTGTTTTCCAGGAATGTTGAACATAAACAATATCTTGAGGCCAGTAATCACACGAAGCCGTCTGAACCACACAATTCCTGGCACACAACAGAGCTTGAGCCTGTCTTTTATCATCCATCGGGCAACCCATACAATACATTTCCTCTCCTAGTCTCCAATCAAGTGTACTAGATTATTTTAGGGCAGATGCCTTGTGTAAAGGTAACCGGACATTCTTAAAAGGACAGCTACCCTCTATTCAGGCCGATTGTAGCATTAAAACCAACTCGGGGCATCACTCTTCTTCCAAAACACCACTAGACAAAATGACAGGAGAGATCCCATATTAAATTAATTTCCTTTAAACAGCTTAATGAATGTGCATGTTCCACTCATGCAGACTTCCAGGGTGAGGAAGTTAATGCTTAAGCAATGATGGTTTTATTTCTATAGTAGATTTATAAAGCCACTGCAAAGCTGAAGAGGCTGCTCTGCTTAACAGAAAAACCTATTTGGTCATCTCCCAAGTCACATTTTCAGAAGTGACCTGGGCACTTGGCTTTTATCTCCAACTGACCTTGACATTTAGGAGTCTCAGGCCTTAGGTGTCAGATTTTTAAGAGGTATTTTACGGTCAGCCCAGGACAATTTTCAACTATGTATTTTACAGTGTTTTCTCCAGTCTTCTTTTCAATGCTCAATAATGACAGAGATTCTACCACTTCCTTTGAGTTACTATTCCCACAGTCAATTAGATGTTTTAACAAGCCTTGTAAGCACCTGGAAAGAGAAGTCACTAAGCTTGCTATGCTTTTTTATCCAGAGAATTTGACTTCTCACCTGATTCTGGAAACCCATGGCTGGAATGTTGCACCTTACAGCAGCATCTTCCTCATGATTACAACGCAGCGACTCTGTATTGAACTTGCAGTCCGTGATGGATTTTTCTGACCCTGTACATGCTATTTCATTTAGGTGAATAGGACCGATCCCTTCAAGAGAAATAAATGTGTAGTCATTATTCCCCCACATTATTCCCAAGGTGAGTGCGCCTAACAGCAATAAAACATTATATTGTAAGACACAACAGCATCCAGATTCCAACACACTATTCTTGGGAGAATCTATGTCATTTCTTCTAAGGCCAACTCACAGCTTGTCTTCAGTCTTCAGAAATTATTTTCAGTAGTCTACTTTTTTTTTTCAAATGGGCCAAAAATAAAGGAAAAGCCAAGTTTCCATTGCTCTGCAATCTACAGACTTCAGCCAGAGAATTTTTTAAATTATGACCCATTTTTCTGGCAGGGTTATACAACAGGAACCTGCACTTGATCAAGCCCCGATGTTTGAAATGGCAACATGTATATCTATTTTCCAGAACAGTAGGACAAATTATGCAGGGATTTATAAAAACCCAAGCAAATAAGTAATCTCAAATACAGGTGTGCCATTGAGGAGTCCAAGAAAACTGACATTAATAAGGATCCAAGAATGGGAACATTGGTTGATACCAAAGAACTACCTTGAGAGACAGCTACAGCAGCAGTCCCCACATTGCCTCAGCACAGTAATAGATGCCTGTTGAAATAGCTCACGCCTGACTTGCAACACTGAAATGCTTGCAAGTAATCAACAGTTTGATCCAATAGGGCTGTAACTTCCACCCAGTAATGCCATATTACTATTCAACAGAAAAGTGCAGAAAAGTGCAAGCACAACACACATGGGGGCAGTTGGGATACTTGCATCGGTTAGCAGCTTCCTGGCTTTTATCAGCTCGTTCAGGCTTCATTCTTTATCCTGATTTCTGCCTGCTGGCTCCTTGCTCCCGATTTGCCAGATCCTGAATCCCCCTCAACCCCTTTGCTCTAAACACTTTATTTCGTTCTAGACTCGTGACGTGGCATGTTTTGCAGATGGATAATTTAACTGCACCACACTGATGACTATGTCAACCTGACATCCAGCTGCTGATTCCTGGTAAGTAGCCAGTTTTTGCAGGACAATGGAAATAGAAGGCACTGCCCAGAAATGAGTTTTCCAAAAGGATGAGAAGTCTGCCCACAGTTACAAAATGTAAAATTACCGCCCCCCTCCCACACGTACCTAGTCAGCCCTTTCCGCAAGTTAGAAGAAGCAGAAATATCAACGCGCAAACATTACAGTGTCATTTCCTTTTTGACATGTATGGCACATAGCAGCTGCTGCAGAGAGGCAGTCGAATCTATTTCTGGTTCTGTCCTTGGAAGGACAGAAAACTGTGCTGCAAACACCTAATGGCAGGCAGGTGAATGACAAGAGCAATATGTTTATTACCAATATTGACACATGCAGCTGATTTTTTAGTCCCCGATATTATGGGGCTAGAGACCCTGTGCGAGATTGAGGCCCCATTGTGCTCCCCATACACATCATAAGAAATAGTTCATGCCCCGAAGGGTTCACCTTTCATATAGACAAGGAGGAAGTAGAATCTCATCTTCTCACTGTACACCCAAGAAACGGAGGTACTGAGAATTTAAATGACTTGCCCAAGGTGACACAGGAAGTCAATGGCAGAGCCAGGGACAGAACCTGATCTTCCAAGCCTCAGACCCTCAGCCACAAAACCATCTTTGTGTAGTCCTCAACAAAGAAATATATGTATTTTCTCTTTTTAACCTCCACCTCAGAAGAAACAGCTGAGGAAGGAAGGCAGCAGATGATAGTTGGTTTAACAGTAATAGGACCCTTTTCAGTGGGTATGACCCCACCCCTTTTTTTTTTCTTTTTTTTGAAAACTCCTATTGAATCTGACTGACAGCCAGCAAGCAGAGGCTGGAGAACTAGGGGCCCAGATGTGCACAGCTGTTTGTTAGCTACAGTCTAAACAATCAGCCTGAAGAATGTGCCACATGGTCAGACTTCTGCAGATTCAAGAGAGGGCAAAGTACACAGGGGCTCCACAGTCCAGTTCTGAAGAACATTTTTATTCACTGCTTCCTTCCTTAATTCATAGGGATAGAAAGGAGCAATCACATCACCCAGACCATACCTGATGGACCTGATGTTTCTCTTCCTTGATATTTGGACCTTCCTTGATACTTGGACCTTGATATTGCCCTCAGACTAAGCTAGGCATAAGATTTATTTAGAGGACATTAACACTGAAAACCAAGAGGGAATCTGCTTTTCACAGAACATTATCCTAAAATCAGAGGTTTGGAAGGGACCTCAAGGACCACTTAGTCCAATTCCCTGTGCAGAGGCAGGATGAACTATTCCTGTACTCACTTTTACTGCTCTGTCATACTAAAAAAAAAAAATCTTTCTTGTAATCTATATTCAGAGAACATTCAGAGAGGGCAAAATTAATGCAATTGTTCTGGCCTCTGTCAAACAGGTCAAGTAGCAACATTGTAGTTGTGATGGTCCATTAAAAAAAAAGAAGTAGTAAGATTCATTTAAAAATATCTTTTCATCAGACCAGCTCTATAGTTGGGAGAGAAGTCAGACAAGCTTTCGGGCACAAAATGCCATTCCTCAGGTTTGCGAAAGAATCAGGTACAATCTGAGCTAAATGTCAAAAGAACAAGAGCAATTGTTCTAATTAGTGTCTTCCTGATGGCACTGCTGACTTACCTCTCTCTTCCACTGCTCCCCACCTAATTCTGCCTTTTTGTCTCAATGTTTCCGAGGGCATTTGACTAACACTGTCCATGGGGTAGAGGGTACGTTTGCCAAACAGAAACATCCTTTTTGGTGCATGTCACAAGGCCTCTGAGCCAGGAGACGCATGACATTTGCTGTGTTTCGTAAGTGGAACTGTTTTTTTTCCTAAACAGAGCACTCCAGAATGGTCCTAATTATAATGGAAACTGCAAATTTCCCCTCTCCCATCTGTAATATTTTCATTGGACTGAGGCATTTTGTGTACATCAAATTATATAAGGAGAACACTGGTGTGTGCCACCCTTTCAGAGCCCCCTTCTCACAGGAAAAGCAGCATGGCTGGCATGAGCTCCAGGGCAGGCTGGACAAGGCATTTAAAAGTAACACCACTGAGACGCACTTCTGTGCCCAGGCTATACTTCTGTACTAGGAAGGTGATGGTTTGAATGAACAAACAGAAGGGCTGGATAATCCAACAGGACATTTCTCTCTCAGACTCCTACTGTTCTAGGTTCCAGAAATCATGACTCACCTATAACTCCCACTGAAGCCAACAGCCTGGTCAGCAGTCCCAGAGAAATCAAGGGGAGTTTTCTTCATTTTTAATTAAAAATTGAAGAACAACAATAGAGATCAAGGGGAATTCACACCCCATTTGGTTTTTAACTTTTCTCTCATAATAAAAATCTCACTTGTGGTCTCCATCTAGAGGGACAAAAACTGACCCAGTAATTTTGCCCTCTGCCAGATAGCTCAAATAGTGGGTAAAGATTGATTCTGCCCAGAACTGCAGGATGATGCACAAGGAATGCTGGGTGGATACAGAAAAAGGACTAAGGACCCAAAGCATCAAACCCATAAATTAATAGGAAAGAGAGCAGGGACCTGGTTCTTTGATGTACATAGCTCCGATGCATTTTGTCCTCCTCCATCAAGTCTCTTTGCTGACTCTGCCTGTCATTAAGACTGTCCTCCCAGCACTGGAATGTCACTATATTGCCCTGCTGTCTGCACTGAAATTATCTGATCAAATTAGTAGCAGTGTTGTTGCACTTTTCCTTCATTTCCTGTGAAGGGAATGACTTCAGTCCATATGCATTTGCACTATCCTGTAAACCTGACTCCCATGGGTAATCTCATTTAAATTCAGTGGAACGATTAACGTGAGCAAAAGGTACAAGACTTGGGCCCTGGTGAGCCATTCAGCATATCTTTTTAAGTTCTACAGATATATTTTCCCATAGGTTTTGTGGAATAAAGTGGGCTGAGAGCTGTTAAAGATTTGATGGACATATTAAAATACTGGCCTGGGACTCGCATGGCCTCAACTCTCTTCTCTGATGTGCAACAGGCTCCCTCTGTGACCATGGGCAAAAATCATTTAATCTGTGCTTTAATGGCTCATCTGTAAAATGACATCCTTCCTTTGTCATGCTTAATCAGACCGAGAACTCTGTAGGATAGGAGCTCTCCTATTATTATACATATGACAACTAACAGAGCTAGTACCTCAGCCTTGGTCAGGACTTCCAGATGGCATAGAACACAATTAAACATTTTAATTGCATCCTTTACAGTACATTATACAATATAATTCATGGGCTAAAACACCAAGCCCAGGAGAAGTGTGCTTGCCCATCTCTTTAAATCCATGTAAATGGATAAATATGCTGATAGTTAATTGTGAAAGGTGCAGCATAAGTACTCCAGTTGGAAGGCAAAGACAGCAGAGTTAAGGTCCATTGTGCCCTATGGGATTAAGAGAATCTTACCGCCTAAATATTCTGCAATATGAATTTGGATTCCTGTTTGAACCATAAGAGCCTTTTTCACACGCCAGTAGCAGAGATCAATTTCTATAAATGGAACTAAACAAGTTTTAATGACCCTAGAGACACATTTCAAAAGCTTGGGAACTTGATGTTCAGCATTCAAAGAAAAAGGAAAGAATGTAACTGGGAATGAGCAGCCACTGCTAAAAGTTTCCACGTTTGGGAAGCGACATGTTTTCTCTGGTCACGTGGCAGGAACAATTTTTGCAGGATAATAAAGTTCCTTTTTAAAGGCCTTAAACACTATATTGGCAGCGCTCTGATTCCTACCACAAGACTCCTTGGCAGTATGGGACCATAAGGGCACATCTAAAGGTTTTCTTATTCTGGACTACTCCATTATTTTTTACACATGTAATTAATTTTCCCTTCCCTTCACCAAACCACAATGGCCTGGAGGAGTTTCACCTATTTGTTTAGTTTTACAGCATGTGGCTTTGGTTTGGCAGATTTCAGTTAGGTTTTATGCTATGCATATAGGAGCAAAGATTTTAAAGGCAGGTTTGGGACAGAATCTCAAATCTAGAGAACTAACTGATACCTTTTACCAAAGTCTGAGATCCAAATGAGTCCCAGGCTCAGGAAATCCTAACCCAAATCTGGTCTGGATCTGTACAAATGATCCCTAGACTTATAATGAGCTGAATCAAGACTCCAGAGCTGAATTTAAGCCCATCTTTAGTACCAAACTGCAATAAGATATCCATCCTGGAATTTTTCTTAAGTTTTTTCATTATTTAACAATGAGTCAATAATTGTTGAAATGACAGTCTAAGGGAAGGGGTAAATTCAACATTCACAGATATCCTTAAACAAAGATTTTATCTCTTCCTAAATCATGTGGTCTTGTTCAATCAGAAGCTACCGGGTCAGCAGTCTCAGTTACAGAAGAATAAAGTCCTCCCCACCGCTGGGCACTACTTCGAAATATCTCCACCTACCTTACAAAGCAGATCCCACTCTCTCATCATAGTAACACCTTTTGCCCTTTAAATCTCTGAATATATGTAAGGCCATACCGTTTAGTTTGGCTCCCTGCTTACACAAAGATAGGGAAGTCCAACTTTCCCACATTTAAGACTTATTGAACTGTTGCTTCCTATGCTTGTCTTTTTAAAAGCTAGCAGATGAATGCTAAGTGTAGAAGAAGGAAACCTCTCCACCCCCAATACTATTGTAGCTGCTGTCATTTCCAGTTGTATGGATAAGGCATTAGTATCAATAACAATCCTATGCTATTAAGAAATGGATTGAATGTTTGTACAAGTATCTAAATATTTATGAACCTACAAATCCAACAAAATAACAATCCAATAATTTTAGTCTATACAATTACTTTTCTGCTATTCACAAAAAAGGTAAAAACATTTGTTTTCACTTTGATATGGCATATGTATCAGAAAACAGAATGCAAAAATATTAAAATATTTTAATAAAATAAAAGACAATTGTATCTTACCAAAATTGAAACAGTCCTACCATTCCAAAGGAAACAGTCCCAGAATTTTAGTTCTACATACAGGAAGTTTCAGCTTCTTATTCCAAATTGGAACCCAACTTTTTAAAATTGTGGAATCTCCTATGGAATGAAGAGTCCCGTTTCTATCCAGGTCTAACTACAATTCCCACCGACTTCCAGTGAACCTTGTTGCTTAGGCCTCCAAGTGAAACTGGGGACCTCAGCATCTCTCAGCATCTGATTCTAGGTCATGGGACTACCCAAGTTTGGAAAAAACTTCCCTGTTCATCTCAATGGAGAGTTCTCCAATGGCAGTCAGCATTGCTGGCCCACTGCATTCTCATCCTTCTTACCTTGCCCAAGCTTTGCACCTGTGATAGCTTCCTTGGCACTCCCAAAGCCCAGCTCTCGGCAGACCACACTGGCTGAAATCAGGTTCCAGTTATCATCACAAATAGTTCCCCATTCCCCATTTTTCAGCACTTCAACTCTTCCTTCTCCAGTATTGGCCCCACCTCTCAGCCTGACCAAGGGCTGCTGTAAGGAAGAAAAAA